ACCTCTGCCTTCACCTGCACAGAGAGAGCTGCCGCCTCCACGCCTCGGCTCCGGAGGATCTGACGCCGGAGGCTTCTCTTGCAGGAGAAGCCATTGCCAACGCTGGGAAGAAACAGCTCGATCCGGCCGGACAGAAGCCGGGTTTGTTCGAGAAAATGGCCCCGTGCTGGGAAATGTCGTTGGGTGCTAATGAGTGAGTGCAGAGAGACAAGGAAAAAATGGTAATTGAAAACAGTTACGGACACAAGACATCAAGGAGATGAGAGAAGGCAAAGGCATACATAAAGAAAATCAGATAATAACGCAGGGTCTAGACTAAAATCAGTGTCTGGTTCTTAGGTCCTGCTGTGCATGTAAATTAGGCTTTGTCCACATGCAGAAATGACACAAGGTTAACAAAAATTAATTTAAAGTGATGCGGGGTTCTGAGTTCAACCCATAAAATCCTTTCACCGTCACTACAGCAGATGAAAGCACATTTTTGCTGGCTATCTTGTTTTGGATGTAATCTGTATCACAACGACTTGTTTTCAACTACGACCACCAATGCTACAGAGTGAATTTACAACCACAGGTCTAGTTTAACTCATCTTGTAAAACAGAAACCCAGAGAGGGCGAACCACAATGAAGTTACGCAACAGAACTACAGAGATGCTACCCCAGAATTCCTCTCGGAAACCAAAAGGGAAGCCGCGAGGCTACTCTGTCCACCTCCTCCTCTTGCTAGGCTTTCTTAAGAGTAGTTTTGCAAACCTTGGAGATTTCACAAGTGCCCGACAAGGAAAACCTTGAGTCCCACCACCTGCAAAAAGCTGAAGAACTACCTCCTGAGGAGGAAACGTCACAGAGGAGCTGCCTAAGCTGCAAGCAGTGAGCAGCTGCACTGAGCATCGGCAATCTCACGCTGCTCACCACAGCTTTCTGCAGGACACGGCCCCGACCATCTCCTCCCATTCATTTGGATGCAATCAACTGTTCTCACCCACGTGGAGCTCTCTGCCTTTCTCCTCGTTTGAGCCGCATCGTATTTCTCTCAGACCGTTTGGTCCATCTGTCAAATTCACTTTGATTCTAATCAGGCCCTTCAAAGCTCTCGGATCCATTCCCAGAACCGTACTGTCTGCAAAGCCAACAAGCACATTCTCGATTCCATTACCCAAGCCAAAACAAGGGACTTACTTGATAAATCCCTTCCGCTGAACAGGGAGCCACTTGTCAGGTTCCCTGGTAATGGCCTTCCAGGCAGTTTCATATTAATTTTACAGTATCTGAGAAACAAGCCCCTCCTTGCCCTGTGGACGGCAGGCCTCTCGCAGGAAGGGCTTGCAGAGCCTCAAGAAGCCTTTAAAAACTTGGAGAAGTACCACAAAACCAGCAGAGTCGCACTGGCTCAAAATCACGACTGGCTCCTCTTGCATGAATGATGCAGGAGCAGAACGGGCGAGCTCAGGGCAGCTCGGGAAGGGTTAACTAGTCCTGGCTGCCAGGGCGAGGCAGGAAATGTTTACACAAAACTGGAATTAACCGCTGCTTCTTCTTCTGCTTTGACAGAGATCAGGGAGCCCCAAAGGGCCCTGCACTAAAGCAACATTTAAGGAACAGGGCTGGACTGCACTTCTCAAGCCGACTTCTGAGAAATCACAAGAAACAAGCCCTAGTAAAGGCGAGGTGTGCAATATCTGCTGTTTCTCCTCATCCCCTATGCACTAACCAACCCGAGAGGGAAGTCAGAAGAGCTGAGCGCTGCTCACCCCCAGCAAACGCATGTGGCTGCGTTCTTCTAAGCATTTATGAGCGATGTATTCCTTTCAGTCTTAGGAGGAAATAAAGCTGGGGTGACTGGGCTGCAAATTCCCTGCCTTTTTTTTTTTTTTCCCTCCTTCCACATCCTGAACTTTTGCTGAAACAGGAGTTTATTCTGACCCAGAAGCACTGCAGGAAGAAAACGCCCCAAACTGCAGAGATTCGGGCAACGCTATTTACTTACAGTAACTGTAAGATAAATGTGGCTTTTATAAATTACATCTCCTTATTGTAAGACTCCACGGAAACATCACGGCATCGTATTTCAAAATTAGCAGATC